AGCTGGAATTTTCAGCATGAATACATTACTGAAACAGCGACGCCTACGTTGGCTTGGGCACATCGTGAGAATGGCTGATGGTCGGATTCCAAAGGATCTCCTGTATGGAGAATTAGTGCAGGGAAAGCGCCCCAGAGGGAGACCACAACTGCGATACAAGGACATCTGCAAGCGAGATCTGAAGGCCTTAGGAATAGACCTCAACAGATGGGAAACCCTGACATCTGACCGTTCAGCCTGGAGGCAGGCAGTGCATCACGGCCTCTCCCAATTTGAAGAGACTCTTGCCCAGCAGGCCGAGGCAAAGAGGAAGTCACATAAGCAGCAAAACCAGGGAGCCGGACAGGGGACAGACTGGGTTTGTCTTCAGTGTGGAAGGGACTGTCACTCTCGAATTGGCCTTCTCAGCCACACTAGGCGCTGTTCCAAGCCCTCCATACAGAGCACGCTACCATAGTCTTTCGAGACTGAAGGATGCCTAACTAACTTAAGTTTGTAAACTTGACATGATTCTCAAATGGTTGTATTTTGGTCGAAAGACATGTCCAGATTCCTCTTCTGTGCAGCTCGCTGTCACATATGCACATATGCATGCCCTCACACACCCATAACTTTCTACTATGCAGCTTTTGCAACATTTTATTTGATTCACTTAGTTTTCATTTCTTTCATTTATATCTCACTGTTCTCATAGGGGACCCACAGTGGCTTCAGTCAATTCAAAGAACATAATAAACACAGTTGAAAACACAGTAAGATATATTATATGTATTTTAAAAAGTTGAAAAATAATAGTTTTAAAAACCACCATTTAAAGAACACCCACCTCAGTTCATAATATACAGCATCCCTGTGACAGGGTTCATTGACAGTATCTGACAGTTCCTCAGTTTTGGTGGGAAAGGACAGAGTAGATGTTTCTTTAACTACAAACTCTTTATTAACAAGATTCTTAGGTTTCTCAACAATAACTTCTGTGGGGTCAACGTGACCAAGGTCTACAGGAAAATCTGTCCACAACAAGGGTAAACTTCCTCCATAGCTTTCTTTCCTCAATGGGGAGAGCGCCCAAGTCTCTCCTGATCAGTCGGGTTTCGCAAACATCCACTCCTCACCGCACATATAGTTCTGCAACAGGGGTGACGCGACCAGTCTCCCTCGGGTGGCTTCTGATCTGGCTGGAGAGGTCCCGGCCGGACCACCTTCCTCCAAGGACCTCAGCCTCAAGGATACATCAGTATGGTCCATTCTTCCAGTCCTAAAACTTCTATGGGTATCTTTATGTCACCCTCTTTTCTCTCTTTTTCTAGGTTCCCATGCCTTCCATCCCATCTTTCTTTTGCGGTATCTTGAATTCTCGTGGTCCTCCTTCCTCCTCCTGCCACTCATCTTCTAAAACAACCACCTTCCTCATCTCTCCTGACTTGTCCCCCTCCTCTGTCGTCAAGAACACATCTACCCCCTTCTTTTGCTTCCCTAACTCCTCCCCCCTTTTCCCCGCCTTCATCCCTTTCACTTCTTCTGTAACTTTCTCTACTTCTCTATCTCTACCCTCCTCTATAGACGTACGGGGGGGATGGCTCACTCTCTCTCTTCTTCGCACTTTTATTCTCCAGTTCACAATACCACCATGGAATATCTTAGCTTGCCACTGCAAGGACAAGAAATAAGGATCCAACCTGTCTTCCTGGGGAAGTGCATTCTGCAGCCTGGGAAGGCCCTCCCCTTACCAAACGAGCTGTTGAAGACGATGGAACCAAGAGAAGAGCCTCCCTGGAGGATCTTATTGATTGATTGATTCATTCATTCATTCATTCATTCATTTATTAGATTTATACCCTGCACCATCTGGCTGCCAGGCCACTCTGGGCGGCTAACAACAACAAGAGGATGAAAACAGTATTAAAACACAATAAGAATAAAAGAATACAAACATTCAACATATACAGTAACTAGTAGGATAAATTAAATCAGATGACTATAAAGATGATAGAAAGAATGATGAAAGGATGGCAAGAAGGATGATAAAAGCCGCCTAGATTGACTAGATAGGCGGGATATAAATAAAATAAATATTAATAATAATAAATAAAAGAGAAGCAGAGGTATCAGCAGCTTAATGCTCAGGGAAAGCCTGGCGGAAGAGCCACGTTTTCAATGCTCGTGTAAACCCGTCCAACCATGGGCAGATGGTTCCTCAAGCAGGGGGGGTGACCGCTGAGAAGGCCCAGTTTCTTGTTCTTTCCCTCCAGACCTCCTTCTGGGCCAAGGCTCTCAACCGCCCTGCCTGTGAGGAACGGGTATTACGAACAGGTCTGGCTGGGAGCAGGCGTTCTGATAGGTACTGAGGTCCTAAACCATTTAGGGCTTTGAATGTTATCATCATAACCTTGAAGTCGACGCGGAAATGAACCGGTAGCCAATGAAGGGTGGCCAGAATGGGGGAGATGTGCTGAAATTTCTTCGCCCCAGTGATGAGCCGGAGAGTCTCATATAGGGTGATTCAGCTCTTCAGATAACCGGGGCCCATACTGCTGGGGCCTTGAAAGGTCAGCACTTTGAACTGAGCCCAGAAACGGGCCAGCAGCCATTGGACCTGCTGTGCTAGGGGAGATATATCCTCCCTGTAATTCGCGTCAACCAGCAGTCTGGCTACAGCATTTTAAGCCAACTGAAGTTTCTAAACACTCCAAATGGAACTCAGGTAGAATGTGCTGTGTTAATCTAGGCAAGGTATAACTAAGGCATGTTATAGCAGAAACCAGATATCTCAAGGAATGAGTATAGGTGGTGCTCTGAACTTACTTGCTAACTTACTAACGAACTGTGAAAATACAGTCCTACTGAACTTACTTGCTAACTTACTTAGTTGCTTACTAACGAACTGTGAAAATACAGTCCTCATCACTGCTGAAACCTATGTATCCAGACTCAGTGCTGAATCCTGGATCACACCCAAACTGGCTCCCTGGCGTGAAAATTAACTGTGTAACATTAGGCTGCCTTTCAGCCTGGCCCACCTGGCAGGGCTGTTGTGAGAACAGACTGGGAAAGAGGAGAGCCATGTATGACTCCTTGAGGGTTCTAGAAGGCAGAATATAATAAATAAAACATCTAGCTAGATGAAACATTCCCATTGGTTTCCCATAGAGAAGGAGGGAACCTTTCTTTTTATTGTAGAGGAATGCATACTCTGCAGGCAGCACAGATTGACTACATCCTGGATTTGGGGTGCAGGAATTTCTTCTTAGCACCTTTTTGGTTTGTTTTTATTTTTTTGCTCTCTAACACTCATCCTTTCTCAATTCAAGGATGCTTTATTCTTTCCCCAGGGAGTCACAGTAACAGCAGCGCAGGTGATCTTTGTTTTCAACAGAGCAGGTGGCTCTCTGGGGAACCTGATGATGATCTGGGAGGGCAGGGTGCTTTTGAAGTATGCCTTAGAAGATATTAGTGCTGTAGCACTCACTTATCAGTGCAGGGTTCTTTGGCTTGTTCAGTGGGAATAAAAGCTGATGTATGAAGTGCAGTGCCTCAAGGTGGCCAGAAATTGTAGGGGGATCAAGAGAGCTTAGTTAAGCATGAATGAAGAGTTAAAACTGCAAGAAGACCACTTAGCTGATCTCCTCCTCCTCCTCTTCACAGGGTGATGCAAAGGAAGATGCTGCAGAGAACATGTCTGCCCATGACCCTCCACCTGATGACCCTGTGGCATGTCCACTCTGTGATCGCAAGTTCCCGGTTTCAGAAATCGAACTGCATGCCATGTATTGTAATGGCATGGGAGAGGACATAACTGAGGATGCCCCAGGTTTGCTAAACCTGTTCTCATATGCCACTTTTTTCTGATGATTCATTCTATTCGTGCACCAGTTTGGATGTTTTGCTTTTCAGTTGCAGCACTAAACTACTCCCTACTGGGAGTAGTTTAAGCAAAATTTGAAAAACCAGAATGGGATCAGCAGTGTCCTCCAGCCTGCTTGTCTACTTCTTGGGGGGGGGAATCATTTTTATTCATTTTTTAATATGTGTGGTGTTCAGGTTCAAACATATGCAAGGATCCTGTAGGGTAGCAGGATGGAGAACAGTTTGGTGTTGCCAAAGAGAGGATGTGTGGCTACCTCACTGATGGGATGCCAAGACTGAGGGGGGAGACAGAGGGTTGCCTGATTGGCCTTCCAGTGTGAAATAATGCTGTGAAAAAAACATTCTTGTAGAATTCTGTGTAGTAATTTCTCCTGATCTAGAGTCCCAGTGGTGGAAGGAGTCTGTCCTTAATCGGCAGGGTTCCCAGTCTGAGTCTTGTGCCACCTGACACGGTGTCTGTCTGTCTGTCTGTCTGTCTGTCTGTCTGTCTGTCTGTCTGTCTCTGCATACCCCACTGAGGAGATCTGAGGCTTAGCATCCTGTCCTGCCCAGCAAGCCTTGTGGTTTGTTTAGCGCAAGCTCTGTCACATTAGCTTTTCCCCAGTATCGATTCTGGTGAACCTGGGGCCCTGGATCTTGATGGACTACTGTTGCTCATCTGCATCTTATGTATAGTTCCAGACTTACCAACCACTTCTCCCATTACTTCCTCCTGCTCCTGAAAAATCTTTCTCATAACCCTGACCCTTAGGATGGACATTCCAAACCCTTAAGTGTTACCTGGATTCAAGTACATTCAGTGTAGCTTGTTCCCTAGTATGGGTGCTCAGGACTGCAAGCTGTAGGCTTTGTCACTTCTTCCATATTGAGGAGGAGCCCTTTTAGAAGAGAAGGTCACACACATGGAACATCCATTGTTGTCTTTCAGCCTGATTAATGCTGAAAAAGGTTTTCAACCACCTCACTAAACACAGCTTTGACCAAACTGAATATGTCCATATAAGGACTGTTCATTATTATCTACCTTGGTGTAACATTTTTGTGTTTTAATTAGCAAGAATATCATGCCAGTTTTTCCAAAATCACAGGGGTTTTACATTGAGATGCTTGTTACTTCAAGAAACCAAACAATGGCACTGCTAATGCACTACCTCATCTTGCCTTTTGTCAAGGTAGAGATAGGGTGCCCAATCAGTGCTGAGGGCAGTGTTAGAAATATGTCATGAGTTAGAGGGCCATTGCCAATTTGCATATTTAATGCCATGTGATTAACCTAATTGACATAACTTTTTTTATTAACATTGTCAGGCAAAAGTACAATGAATTATTCTTAGCTTTATTCTTATTCTGAAATTGTTCTTGAATGTGAAAAATGACTTAGGCTTTGAAAAATCTTGGTCTATACAAATGGTAATTGTGAAAGTTAAATATAGTGAACCTGAGTTGTTTTTTATACTAGGTTTTTCATGATTTTTTTTGCCATTTAACTGTTGCTTTTATTTGCTAAAACCCCTCTATTACACAGAGGGCAGGTAATTTTATAATCAAAGTAAGATAATTGTTTCCCAAAATTCTAGCAAGAATGTGTAGGTTCCATATAAGTGTTTAGGATTGGCTGCCTATTGTTGAGACATCTTATGTACTGTGTAGAAATGTTATTGTTTTATTTACCTATTAATACACAAAATTTTACAGTGCATGCAACATGTGCTCCCTACAATAGAACCAGTCTGGGTTTATATACCATAGCCTTTCAACAACCTTAGCACAACTTGTGATGTGGACGTAGATCCTAGTTGCAATATGAAAGAAGCTTTTAGTTTCCATTTAACTTAGGCTAGTCTTTGTTGCAGATTTGAAGAAGGTGGCTCCTAAAACTGTGTATTGGAACAGTAATGAGATGAAAACATAATTCACTAGTCTTATTGACTTATTAATACTGTAATTATTAATTGTATTCTGTGATTTGGAATGGGTAGAACTGGAAAATTTAGAAATTATTTCAAAATATGGAATAGAATAGAATCAAAGTACCATTTGTTTTTGTAATCCCCTTAAGTCCTCTTCCTTCTCCCCTTTGTCATATCTTCTTGTTAATGCCCCTCCCCATCTGGAAGGACTAAAGCTGCCTCTAAAGCTTGAATACAACTTATCCATGCCCTCCATAACCCCAGATGACTTTTTTAAAGGCTGAAAGCAATGCAGTTCTCAAGTTATATCTAGTGTCTACAGTATGACTTGGTTTCTTTTATTAACTAGGTTAGGCAAATTTGAATCCTGCTGGAACAGGATTTGGGGTCCTTCTCAACAATCTGAGCCTGGCCAGGGTGCAAAGTTAGTTAGAATACCTTGATACACCCTCCTTATTCAGTTGGTATCCTAGGAAAAAAATGGCATAGCCTCTCTGAGACTTGCTGAGCCAAGCTTGTCTGATATTTTTTTTAAACGTCTAAGTTTTGCATCCCCAGCACTTCATGGTTCCGTTGGAACAGTGTTTATACTTGGCTGCCCTGTGATCAGGACACTAGTGCAGTGTGGAGGCAAATCAAAGCTGTGCACACCCTCCTCCTCCTCCTTGATCTGCTCCAAGGAGGCTGCTCTAGTTCTCCCATACAGTTGGCTCAAGGTTACTGATCCACTATCAGGGTTTCTTAATTGGATTTATTCTGGAGGTCTCTGGTACTATAAACTCTAACATCTTTCAGTGTTTTATATTGCAAAGGAACAGAAACTTGTCTGTCTGCTGTTCAGTGATTACTGACTGTAAATTTGCTGGCTCTTATTTGAGCTTGTAACCCAGAGTAGCTGTTTTAGCTTGGATGATACTTGGGGCCATTCATTCCACACTGGCTGCAGTTGTGTGTGTTTCTCTGCATACATGCTGTGACTGAAGCTGGAAATGCATGTGCAGTTGCACATTTAAGCCCTAAACTGAGCTTTCTCTTCTCTGGCAAGAGTGTCTAGGCACTGTCTTTCAATACAGTACTTTCCTAGGCTCTGTTGCAGTTTGTCAAGCATGGAGGCATGCCAGGAAGCAGACAGCCATGCAAGGTTGTGGCCATCTGAGCATGTAACCTGTACCTGGGCAAATTGTTGCTCAGATGAAGCAGCCAGGCTAGAGACAGCTGCTTAATAGGATCAGCTGGAGCCCTACTGGCCCCTTGTCTCACCTAGCTTCTGTTGAAGTGGCAGCTGTAATACCATTGTCTGATACCAGTGCCAGACAGTTGGATGAATCCACCTGCTTCAGGTAGCATTGTGAGAAGGAAATACCTAAAGGCACAGCTTAGAATGCAAATGGTGCAATGAGTTCCTTTAAAACAGAGATGGGGAATGTCCGTCCCTCCAAATGTTGGACTGTGACTCTGTTGAGCCGTACCCAGTACAGCCAAGATAAGGAAGTTGCACTCCAATAACATCCAGAGGGACACCTTTGCTACCGCCACCCCATTTAAAATGTTGTCCTTGTTTGGGGATGGGCTCCACTGCAGAAATCAAAACAGGGCCATGTATCCCTGTCCTCTGACCATCGACAGCAGTCAGGCTGGAGTGCAGCTCTGTCTCAGCCAGCAACACCATCCTTGGGCAAGTCCCGTGCTAGCATGGAAGAGAAGGCAATTGGGTGCTCCTGCTGGAGATTTCCATTTGAGGCACACACACACCTGGTGCATTGCATGGCTCTCAGGGGTGGGGGAGTTATGACTTCATGAAGAGGGCTTTTGTTTCCATACCTATCCCCCAGATATTTGCCAGGAATATTGTAAAAGACTAGGTACTATTTTCTCAAGTCCCAGCATGGGCTCAACTTCATTCCTGCATCACAGTGCAGTAGCCACATTGCTGAAGATGCCCACCTACTTTTCCAAAAGGGGTGTGTGTGTGTGTGTTGTGCTGTTTTCCCCTTTCATATAGCCACATCTTAGGTGCAACATGATATATAGTATTTGCCAGTTTGCTGAGATGCAGCCATGCTGGTGCTGATTCTGATCCTGTTTTTTTTTAAACAAAGCTTCAACACCAAGAGAAGTGGCACTGATGCAGCATTAAAAAAAGTTAACAGAACTGGCACAGGAAAAAAAACTCGTTATTTCTTAGACGGACTAGCATACAAGAATCTTTTTCCATTAATAGTATACTGCATACAAAAACACACACACAAAAATAACAGTGTGGGTGATAAATGAGAATAGATTCTTACACAGAATTGGGGAACGTGCTGTGTAGAGGAATCTGCCCCATTCAGGGATACTTTCCCCAGTACCTGTAAAGCAGTGGTTCCCAATCTTTTTTGAGTCATGACCCCCTTTTATAGTAGCCAAATAACCTGAGACCCCCTGCCGTGTTTGCATAAAAAGCATTTTTAATGGGGTAAAGCCATCCCTTCTCTGGAAGTAAAGGCTTCTTTCTCCCCTGTGCTTGGCTGTCTACTTCTCAGCATGCCTCCATGCTTGACAAACTGCAATAGAGCCTAGGAAGGTGTTGTATTGAAACAAATATGTACTAACTGTATTATCCAGCTCTCAAAGGACAAGGAAGAAATTATTTGACAAGGTCTGTAATTCATATTAGGTGACCCGTGACACCCTCCCCCCAGAAAACACTTTGTGAGTCCCTTGGGGGTTCGGGTTCCCTCCCCCCCCCCCCCGATTGGGAAAACACAGCTGCAAAGACTTTGGACAAAATATGAAAATAAAATGCTGTATCCAGAGGAGCCACTTCAGTAATAACCCCATCCACCTTTCTCCTGATGAGAGGACCCCAAGGCAGATCACAGTGTTAAAGCATGTCACACTGAAAACACACATTTTTTCATTGTTATTATATGTTTGTTTTTTAACTTTGTAATTAAAGTTAAAAAAAACAATCAGTTAATCGTGTAATAATAATTTAAAACATTTAAGAATATTAAAAACACACGCAAACACAAAATAAAAACCCAGCATCCAGGGACTCAGTTGTAGTTATTAAAAGCCTGAAGAGGCAGGTCTTTAACAACCAGGGAAAGGATAAAAAGGAAGGAGCCAACCTAACATGAGGGAGAGTGCTCCAGAATTTGGGAGCCGCTACTGAGAAGTCCCTTTCTTGTGTCCCTGTCAGATGCACCCGTGATGGCAACGCCTTTGTCATAGAAGCTGGATTGTAGGAAGGAACCCGTGGGAAAGTCCAAATGTAATTTCTTCTGTATTTCTTGGGTTGTGTGCTCTAGACCAGTGGTTCTTAACCTTTGTTACTTGGATGCTTTTGAACTGCAACTCCCAGAAACACCAGTCAGGACAGCTGGTGGTGAAGGCTTCTGGGAGTTGCAGTCCAAAACTCCTGAGTAACCCAAGGTTAAGAACCAGTGCTCTAGCACAGTCATAGCACTCAAAAAGTCCCACAACCATTCCTTCCTGTTTTGTAGATAAGGTAGATCGCCGATTGGCTGAAGACAGCTGGGGGGGCTATGTATATTTAACCTGTCTCTGGGTCCTTTTATATTTATCTATCTATTTATTTTTAAGAAACCCGAGGAATCTCCCAACTTATGTACAGTAACTACAAATAAATATGTAGAATGACTGTTGGGGAGCAACAGCGTCATAGCTGTGATGGGCTTCTTGAGTTCCCACCTATCTCAGTGTGGATGGAAAAGACAGGAATGTACCATAAAGAGGGGGGGCAGATGATCACTAGAGAAATCAAGAGGACACAATCTTGTGCACACTGGAAGAAATCCAAAGCCAATAGAGTTTTAATTTGGCTACAACGAGCATTGGGAGCATGTCTGACTTAGCCCAGCATGCTCTGAGGAAGGATGCTGTGCTCATTTTGCAACAATGGTTAAAAGGCAAGCACATTCTCTCTTGCCCTAAGAGGAGATTTATCTTGTAGTAGTTTTCTGTTAATGAGATTCCCTCCATGCACACAAACACATAAACTTTCTTTACTCCTCAGGAACCTTGGTGTATGTTTGCTAGCTCTCCTGTAAGTAAAGTCTGCTGGCCCCATCCTGCAGTGACATGGGTGAGCTCAGTTTTTGCAGTGGGACAAACCTGGCTTCTCTGTCATGCCATCTTGGCTCTTGGCAGTGCAGATGTAGGTCTTTCCTAGGGTTTCTGTAATGCCAGTCCCAAAGGTTTCTAGCAAACTTGCTGCGCCAGATGTGTTCTCATCTCCTGGAAAAAAAATAGCACTGATTAACACCTGAGTTGCACACAAGGCACTCTGAAAGAATCTGTTACAGGAATATTAACAATGGTGCACTGGCTTAGTGATCTGCTTTGCTTTTGCTGCAAACAGGCTTGTTAAAAAGCCTTTGGGGAATGTCAAGTGACTCAAGAATTAACAGCAGGGCATGGACACCTCTTGCACCTGGTCACTGATTCAGATCCAGGCCAGGCTTACGGAAACAAGAGCTGTCTTCTTTTGATGACCAGTCAGGAGCCCTGCTGTGAATTTACCATCTTGTCCTTTCCTCCCTCCCCTCTGCCCCTGCCAAATATCCCAGAATGCTCAGCAAGTATAAACTTCACTCCAAAGAGCACAAAGACTGCATACTGGTCACTGCAGCGTGTAAGAGGGGGAAATGCATCCATTAAAACGAGCAGTCTGTTATAGCAACCACCAAGATAACGGGGACAAAGGAACGGTGGAGCCAGAATGTACGCTTCAAGGCCCAGACTGTGCTGGCGCTGATAAGGCATCTTTCCATTCTGAACTCTGTGGGCACCTACTTTACAGCAGATGTTGAGCAAACAATAACCATTTTATAGTGCCTATAACACTGATTCAGACCTTTCTCCTAATGAGAGTATTGAGCACAAGGAGATCGGATATCAGGCTGTAAAAGTGTTCTAATACACTGTCCCCTCCACTAGATTGCCCAAGAGTGCTTAAAGCAGCATCTGTTTCTGCCTTAGAAACTCTAGCACCCTGGTGGAAATGGCTGAGGATATCTGATATGCACCCCAAGTAGTGTAGCTAGTGGCCTGTTGACAGGAATATGTTGAAAGGAATTCAGCTGTATGAAACAAGCACTTAAAATTATCCATGTAGCTCTCTGGTGAGAAAAGCTGGGGCTAACTAGGTTTGCTGATAGAACTATATTGCTGTTATCATCAACATAATCCTTTCCAGTGGAATAAAAGGAGAACCATTGCTTTGAAGCTTATACGTATGTTTGCATGCACTGTATAATTTGACTTTATTGGCGTTTATTAGCATTTGTTTGCCTTCTTGGGTGTGTTACTAGTCCTCATGGTTGCAAAGAGAAAGTCTCATGGTTAATATGATCTTGGCCAGAACATTTAGTGACCAAAGCATACTTTCTTCTTTTAAAAGTATAGAATATGAAGGGGTTCTACCTATTGTCCCCCTCAGACTCTTCCTCTTCTCCTCCCCTAAGGCTCTTGGTCCTAATTCCTTCCTCTCCACTACTGTAGTCTTTGTCAAAATATTCCAAATACTGTCAAAACCCAGTATTTCGCTCAAAATGACTCAAATACATGAAAATTTGTCTAGTTTATTTTGAGTACAGTAATTGGTTTAAAAAAACAATTCTGAACTAAATAAATAAATTTTTGCCCATGTTTTCCCCTTTGGTCCTATAGTTGTAATATGTAGCCATTAAATAGTATCCTGCATGCTATAGGATCTGAATCTCATACTGGGAGACAGGAATCTGGAGCTGCACTGTAGCTACATATTATTAAGATTTACTGTATCTGTTTGGCTCTCTTTTGGAAAGATAAATAATTGAACTGAGTATTTCAGATACCAAAACATCATTTATCTAACCTTATATGGAGTACCCTAATTCTTGAAGGTGCCAAAGGGGAAGTAACATGGAGGATCAAATTAAGTTATAGATTACTGAAACACCTAAAAAAATATCCATGACAAGTGACCTGCTGCTGTCATTAGGTTTTTATGTTACACTATGTCAGAAGGGCAGGAAAGTTAGCAAATGCCCTTTCTAGGGTGAAACTACATAGCTGTAGCTTTCAAAGTCTGAAAGGTGATGCCATTATAAACCAGACCTCTTCTCCCCTTTCCCACTGTGACGTCCCCAAATCAACTGGTACTGTTTCTGGATAGGAGGGCTTTGCAAATAGTTTCCAAGACATGTATCATGTATTTTGTTGGGAAACTTGCCAAGCTTCCTAAGGTTTCTAAGAAGAAAGAGAGCACAACTGTCCTGTTTTTGTTTTGAAGTGATGACCCGACGACAGAGAGAAGCCAAGTGCAAACTTACTGGATACGGAGAGACGTCGGAATCTGTAGGCAAGTAAGTAGGTACGCTGCCATCTTACCGCACCTTTTCTTTTCAGTATTGAAGGCTCAGTTTAGGGCCACTTGTGGATACCCCTGTTGCATAATACAATATAATCTTAGAACTGCAGAGCTCGAAGAGACCCTATGGATCATCAAGTCGAGCCTGTGTCAAGAGACACTGTGGGGAATTAAATTCCCAACCTCTAGCTCCACTGCCAGAGATGTAAAGCACTGAGCTGTCCAACAGTTCATAAGATCCTGCAGTTGTGACAGGCTCTCTCTCTACTTCAGATTTTACATGTGTCCTGCTGTCATATGCAGAGGCATCCTACATGGGAAAGCCCCCATTCTTACTTCTTTTGCTAGCTTTCACTGCTTTTTTCATTTGATTTTGACAAGTTCTTTAAAAGTCTTGAATCAAATCCAGTCAGAGGAAGAACAGAGTATTCCATTCCTTTGCCTTTTCCGACTCTCCCAGCATTTTGTTCATCCTTGCAGCCATCACAATGGAAAGACTGAAGTTCTGCCCTGAGTTGCCCCCTTTTTGGAGTTACATGATATTGAGAATGGGCAAATTCAGCAGGGCTGGGGGCTGTTTTTTTAGGTTTGCAGGCAGATTGAGGGCCATACTCTTCAAATATGGTGCTGAAAGGGACAATTTGTATTTTATTTTATTTTGAAAAATTGCAGTGTAAACATTATAGTGGGTTTTTGTTGATTGAAAAAGGGAGTTTAAAACATGTGTTTTTTATTTGAAAAGTTTACTGAAGTGATCAAAAATATGATGTTAAAACATTTTATTTAAATAGAAGTATGGTACATGTTGCCCCACCTTTGTATTAGATGGAGTGTTAGGATTAGCGTATAAATATATGAGTGTTCTGCAGTTCATTGGTTTAACCAGCAAGTGTTCTGCAGTATTTTTTTAAATTGTAGACAGACAGACAGACAAACAGACTGATCAGCCACAACATTAAAACCACTGACAGGTGAATCCTCGTTGTCTAGTCATTTAGTTGTGTCCGACTCTTTCTGACCCCATGGAGCAGAGCACGCCAGGCCCTCCTATCTTCCACTGCCTCCCGGAGTTGTGTCAAATTCATCTTGGTTGCTTCGCAGATACTGTCCAACCATCTCATCCTCTGTTGTCCCCTTCTCTTCACACTTTCCCAACCTCAGGGTCTTTTCTAGGGAGTTTTCTCATCAGATGGTCAAAGTACTGGAGCCTTGGCTTCAGGATCTGTCCTTCCAGTGAGCACTCGGGATTTGATTTCCTTCAGAATGGATAGGTTTGTTCTCTTTGCAGTCCAGGGGACTATCGAGAGTCTCTTCCACCACCACAATTCAAAGGCAACAATTCTTCGGCAGTCAGCATTTTTTATGGTCCAGCTCTCATTTCCATACATTGCTACAGGAAAAACCATAGCTTTAACTATGCGGACCTTTGTCAGCAAGGTGATGTCTCTGCCTTTTAAGATGCTGTCTAGGTCTGTCATTGCTTTCCTCCCAAGAAGCAGGTGTTTTTTAATTTTGTGACTGCTGTCCCCATCTGCAGTGATCATGGAGCCCAAGAAAGGAAAATCTGTCAGTGCCTCCATATCTTCCTCTTCTCTTTGCCAGGAGGTGATGGGGCCAGTGACCATGATCTTAGTTTTTTGATGTTGAGCTTCAGGCCATTTTTTGCGCTCTCCTCTTTCACCCTCATTACAAGGTTCCTTAATTCCTCCTCACTTTCTGCCATCAGAGTGGTATCATCTGCATACTGGAGGTTGTTGATACTTTTTCTGGCAATCTTAATTCTGGTTTGGGATTCATCCAGTCCAGCCTTTTGCATGATGTATTCTGCATGTAAGTTAAATAAGCAGGGAGACAATATACAGCCTTGTATAGACAGGTGAATAGCATTGGTTATATTGTTACAGTGGAATCTATCAAGGGGTGGGATATGAACAGTCAGATCTTGAATTTCATGTGTTGGAAGCAGGAAATATGGCCAAGTGAAAAGATCTGAGTGACTTTGACAAGGGCCAAATAGTGATGGTTAGACGACTAGGTCAAAGCATCTCAAAAACAGCAAGTCCTGTGGGATGTTCCCAGTATGCACTGGGTAGCACCTATCAAAAGTGGTAAAAGGAAGGACAACTATTGAACAACTAGTGAGCCGCCCCGAGTAGACGCTGTCTAGGGGGGCGGGGTAAAATACACTAAATAAACAAACAAACATCAGGATTGCGGGCACTCAAGGTTTGTTGTTGCATGTAGGCTAGCCCATCTGGTCTGATCACACAGAAGAGCTACTGTAGCTCAAATTGCTGAAAAACATAATGCTGGCCATGGTAGAAAGGTGTCAGAACACACCCAGAGTGCCCATGCCCCCTGTCCACCACCAAAAGTACGTACAATGGGGACATGAGCATCAGAACTGGACCATGGAGCAATGGAAGAAGGTTGCTTGGTCTGATTAATCATGTTTTCTTGTTGGGTGCATATGCCTTGTTTTACCTGGGCAAGAGGTAGCAGCAGGATGCACTATGGGAAGAAGACAGGCCGGTAGAGGCAGCGCTTTGCTCTGGGTGATGTGCTGGGAAACCTTGGGTCCTGGCATTCTTGTGGATGTTACTCTGACACGTACTACCTACTTAGAGATCATTGCAAACCACTTACATCCCTTCATGGCAGTGGTGTTCCTTGATGACAGTAGCCTCTTTCAGCAGGATAATACTGCTGAAAGATACAGGATAATACTGCTATACTGCAAAAATTGTTCAGGAATGGTTTGAGGAACATGAAAAGTGTTCAAGTTGTTTCCTTGGCCTTGAGATTCCCCAGATCTCAATCTGATTGAGCATCTACGAGATGCACAGGAGGACCAAGTCCAATTCATGGAGGCCCCACTTGGCAACTTGTTAATGGACTTAAAGGATCTGCTGCTAATGTCATGGTGCCAAATCTCACAGGACACGTTCAGAGGTCTTATGGAGTCCATGCCTCGATGCATCAGAGCTGTTTTGGCAGCATGAGAGGGACCAATATTAGCCAGGTCCTTTTAATGTTGTGGCTGATCACGATAGATAGATAGATAGATAGATAGATAGATAGATAGATAGATAGATAGATAGATAGATAGATAGATAGATAGATAGATAGATAGATAGATAGATAGATAGATAGATAGATAGATAGATGAGCGAGCGAGCGAGCGAGCGAGCGAGCGAGCGAGCGTATATTGGCACCCTTACAATTCTGTCAGAAAATGCAACCCTTCTCTCAGAAAATCGTTGCAGTTGCAAATGTTTTGGTACTCATATGTTTATTTCTCTGGTTTGCATTGGATTATATTAGATTTGACTTTTCTTCTCTGTTGTTTTGTGTTGTTCCAATGCGAACCAAAGAAATGAACATGTGAGTACCAAAACATTTGCAACTGCAACAATTTTCTGAGAGAAGGGTTGCATTTTCTGACAGAATTGCAAGGGTGCCAATATTTTTGGTCAAGACTGTAGACAGACATACAGACAGACCTTGATCAATGCCACTGGAGTATCCCCCAGTGTCAATTGTGCTTGCACATTTTGAGCTGATGTATTCTGGTACCACTGTCTTAACAGCACAGCACAGAACGTTTAAGACTTGTATTCCAGTGTCAGGTCCATCCTTTACCATTGTGGTTTTCCTGGAGTGTGTGCCTTTCTTTGCCTTTCCTTATAGAAAGAGACTGCCCAGCAATTGTGTGTGTTCCTTATCTAATTCCTGCTTGGTACTGGAGAAGCTAGTGCATCTGCAGAATTCCGTAGTTTCCGTGTGGTGTTTCACCGTGGTGGAAATGTGCATTTTAAATTGCTCATTGGTTTTTTTTTTTTTTAATTAAATGGTGCTCTGTAACAGTGGCCGACAAGCAAAATACTGTAAAAATAGAAAACTGAGCCTTGCAAATCTTGGGCAGCCTTCTTTGTCCCTGGTCGAATTATGCTGTGGAATGGCAATTCAGCCACAATTGTTGGAATGGACAAACGCAAAGGCAAGCAAAGGCACCTGCAAAGCAGCAAACCTTTGAGCTATGGCAAGTTACCCTAGGCTGCAGCCAAGCTTTAAGAGGGGGCAGCTGTTGAATTGTGTGGGCTGGTTTTGAAGGCATCTCTGCATCTCTCTCAGAGGGAAGCTGTGATGGAGAAGGCTGGCAAGGCTAGTACCTGTCGTGATATTGTTAATGAAATTAGACTTTGTTCAGATGGAGATGGTTCCGTTTAATCTTTCTCACTGACACCCCTCCTTTTTCTCCTCTTCCTCCTCCTCCCACCCACACAGCCTCATAAGAAAGGATCTTACAGTAAAAATCCCTGCCATGGAAATAATTTTGCTGTTACAAACACTGGATGGCAACATCACTAATGGAATTAGGCTAATTATAGAGAGGACAGCTTCTGTTTAGACACATTATCTTGGTAATCAGCAATGTCTGGAAAGAAAATATGGAAAGAGTACTGCGGAATGTAACCCACAGGGGGTTCTCCAGATCTGTTTGAGATGCTGTGGAACAGTGGGGCCTGTTGGACTGCTAAAATTCAGGACCCACAAGTCATGCAATTGGATCTGATTGTCCTAGTGCACTCTGCTTTCCCGCTGACTTCCTGTGCAGAGCTGTTTTCCCTTTGTGGCAGTAGCAGCTGGTCTGTAAAGCATTTCAGGCACTGCCCCCCTACCTGGGGGCTAGACAGGTGGCAGAGTTTTTTTCCTCAATGGAGAATAATATATAGTAGTTTAGAAGCCTTTCAAACCAACACAGGAGACTGTTCTTCTGTTCTGTTAGATATAAAATGTTTGGGATTTGTACTGCAGTGTCATTGCAAGGCTTCTGTTAGATATTAAATGTTCGGGATTTGTACTGCAGTGTCATTGCAAGGGAGGAGAAATGGAACCGAAAACAGAATTAGTTTGCTCTTCCTTCTGTTGACTTTGACTTCCCTTCCATCGACCCCACTGGCCTACCAGTCCCAATGTGCCGCAGTCACCATTGCTTCTTGGGCTGGGTCAAATTCTGAGTAGGGAAACATTTATGCCCAGTTTTGCTGGATGAAACTAGAGTTGTGAGTGGCTGGCACTTGTGCCCAATTCTTTGGCACCAAGCACATGTTCAGTGCTTTGTTTTTAATCCTGCTGGCTCTGACATGGAGAATGCACCGTGAAAGATTTGATGTTCTTGTTATATGAGTTCATTCAGACTCAGGAAAACATGTGTCTGACTTAACACATTTGGTTTATTATTCAGGCAAAATGTAACTCCCTTTTGCAAAAGAATAACACTTCATTTCAGCTGTGTTGACAGGATATTTTATGTTTGAAGGGAAATCAGCATTGTTTGAGATCGTTAGAGAAACTGATTTCATTACCATCCCACTGCTGTAGCAGCAAGACACAGAAGAGCACTTGAGGGAAAACTTCTAATAATGTTCTCCCTTTGATTGGCATCAGGCCAGTTTTATTGGTCATTCTGCTATGCCAGTCCGGCTCTGTAGACCAGCTCGGAGGAGCAGAAGCACTTGAAGAACAATGAATTTTAATGGGCTTCTCTCTCTTCTGGCCTGGCAGGTGTGAGAAGTGTTATCTTTGTAAGTCTGTGGTGCCATGGAAGGAGTACCCGAGGCATGTCAATGCCTGCCTTAAGAGTTGCAATGCCCATGGAGCCCAGGGGGGCAGGAGGCTGCGGCGTGCAAAGGTGAGAGTAGATGCTCTGCAACAGAGGAGCTGTTTTCTTAAGACACATTTTGCAAGCATAATCCCACTGGTCTATGTCTGTCTTGGGTCTATGGAAAGGAAGGTGTGACTGTCTAATGCCTTTAACCCAACAAAATAAGCTTCGTTGTGGTGCCCTTTAGACATTTACGCCCTAGCAGCTTGAAAGGAACATTTCCTAGGGTTTATCTCACCCACCCGAGCATGGCCTCCAAGAGAGAGGTGGAGAACCTGTGGCTTTCCAGACATACCCAGATGGTCTCTAACTCCCACCAGCCTTTCCTTCATAGCCATAGCTCAGGAAGGATAGGGGTTACAAGACAACAACATCTGGAGGGCTCTTGGTTCTCCTTCCCTGGTCTAAATGTAATGATTTGGGTGAGTCTCTTGCCTGGAATTTGCATCCCAGGAAGCAGCCTGTTCCATGGATTTGACCTGCCCAACCAGTCCCTGCAGTCACCAAACAAGAAAAACGGGGAGAGGGGGCTTCTCCTCCAAGGATGAGGCCAATGGCAGGGAGAGAAAAAGTGGGGTTGAATGGTTGGCAAGAAGAGGAAGGGAGCCTGTGTGGGCTGGAGTAATGCTAACTACAACACCAAGCTATTCCAATAGATCCCTGCTGCTTGATAACTTCTCTTTCTTGAATAGATCATGTGCAGAAAGAAGTTAAAATCCATGGTCATCTGGGAGCTTCAGTGTTAATTTTCTGCCAGTTCCTCTCCCTCCAGACTAATCTTTCAAGTCGCTTTCAACTTTACCCAGCATTATTGTCTTTTCCAGTGAGTCTTCTCAGGATGTGCCCAAAGTGCATCAGCCTCAGTTTAGTCATATTTGTCCACAATTTGTATTTGCCCACAATTTGTATGCTTATCCCTACATCACGCCACCGCATTCTGTAATTAGCAGTTGCCCCTTCTGCATGTGACAAGGCATGCTATTTTGCATGCCATTATATTTTTCAATATAATGAAATATTTCACGCGTACCTTCAGCAGTATTTTGTGCCTCCTGATGAACATTCATGGCCAGGAGAAGAAACTGTCATTTCCTGCAGTGTCTTAAAAGCGAATGTGAGTAGGTTTCCAATGAGTCCAGAAATGTTTCTTTGCTCAGATCTACAATGTTGAGCAGAGACAGGCTCTGCCATACTGCTTTTCACTAGACTGCAGAAGATACATGTAAAATGGATATAAGCAAAATAGAATACCTTGTCACACGCAGAAGGGGCAACTGTGCTAATTACAGAATGGGGCAGTTCACCCATCATTGCTGAGGACCACAGGTAGCAGAGGAGAGCAGAGCCAAGATTTCTGTTCCCTTGCTTCATTTACCCTGAACTTGCTCTTCGCCCAATATTTCAGTGAGATCCAGAAATTTATCATACTTATCTGTTGTATCATATATACCAAGAGCAATTTTAGAAAAGTGAAGCAAGGGGATGAACAGTTTCCAGGCAGGTCTTTAACTATACTACTGGGCAGTATTTAAATGAATATGAACCCAGATTCATGATGGAGATAATGTCTAGTGAATGCAGGAAGAACACTGAATAAGCATTTGAAATATTCCATCTTTGAAAGAAAGGGAGTGGGAAGGATGTGGATCCTAAAGGAAGATCTGTGTCTGGAAACTGACTGCTCTGAGCAGGGAGTTATTTGGAGCTGCAGCTGGAAGTGCTGTTTGGAGGTGACCCTGGGTAATGCCTATGCAGAGCGAAAGGACAGCTGACTCACAGGAAAAAATTGGGAAAGAATATTTTTAATATAAAATTACATCACAACTGGGGAAAAAAGCCGGTGTTCTGTAGTCTGTAGTCTAGAAGGTAGTCTGTAAATGATTAACATGTATTCATAGTGTGCTTGTGGTGAACATGTATTTGTACCATGGTACATTTCACATCGTCCTTATGGCATCTGAGTTGACATCAAAGGGAGGAAAGAAAGGATGCAAATTACAGTGCCATGATCAACAAATTCATGTGTAGGGATGGAACTCCAAAATCCCTAAATATATATCTTGTCAGAGAGATATTCATCTGTATAGAAGACGGCATCTCTCAACCCCTGCATCACAACCCTTTCTCTTTGTGCTGAAAGAGATAATGGTGTCTGCCTTTTCCTCAGAGCAGACAGTGCATCAAGAAACCCGCTTCTCCAGAAGACCCATGCTGCACAAGGCTGTACATGCAAACCATGAATAATGAAATATTGTTTTAAGTATTGTCTGAGAAATTTTATCCCTGAAGGAAAGGCATTCTTTTGGCCATTTCACTTATTTGACATCCGCTTTTCCTGGATCATTCACTAAGATACAGTTTGCTACTGCCCTTCGTTTCAGTTCTAGCAACCTTGGTATATGATTAGTTAAACAAAAGAGGATATTAATCTGGCTCAGATTATCTAGAGATAATCTAGTTGGCCGCAGTCTCTCCACATGCTGGATTTCCTCTAGCCAGGGGCTATGGACAGTTACCTTAAGAAATGCAATTGGGGTATCTTTAGCTTGATGTCATGGCTCTCTCTGAGGCAGTTGCCTGCTGCCACTTCATACACACACTGCCCATCCTGTTTGCAGTAGAGATCTCCATGCCTCCTCCTTGCTGATTTATTTCTGACAGTGAGGTTGTAATCCATTGCAGCAGCGTAGAGTGCTAAGGCAATGTGATTTCTCTGCAGGAAGATACAACATGATGTCTCAGTTTTGTCTAATCCCTTAAATCCATCACAGGCCTCAACCCTTCAGGGATTCACATGCAAATGATCAGATTGCCTGTTGATGAGTTTGGCTGGGATGCAGCCAAGTGTTATGCAGTTTTCAGCGCAGTGGGTTGCCTCTGTTAGTGCCACTAACATCCTCCAGTGAAATCCTCCCCTCCCACCACCTGTGGTCAGGGTCTGTCATGTACTTAAAACAGACACAATCAGAATTAACACACCTCTCTGGCACCTCAGGTCCAGGGCACCCTGGTGTTGTGCATTAGGAAGCTTCCACTGGCCCCCACCTAAGTGTTACAAACTCTGCTCCTAGCCCATTCTTAAGTGTTGCCTTGCTTCTCTTGAAGCTTTTGTTAGTCTTGCATCCATTCCCCTGGGGAAGCTGCAAGGACGCCTGGCCAGAGTTCCTTAAAATGCAGCAGAAGGGTTTTTAAAGAATTTTTACCTGTGAAGATCTCAGCTGTCAAAGTTGACAAGTTTACTTTAGCATTCTACCTGTTAGCCACACAACACTTGGTGTGCAATTAAAATAAACCAAAGGGATTTGATTTATGGCTGCTGGCAAGGAGCATAATAGAAGATACGCCCAGCATAACTGAGTAGGAATACAATTCCTCGCCTCCGCTTGATTCGTAGGCTGAAACTAGATTTTGCAAGAGTCCTCCAGCTGCTTCCAAAAGCAGCAACCCTGTATCATCATCATCTCCTCCTCGCCCTCCTAGAACATCTCATAATCTAAAATGAATAGTGTGAATTCATGTGGTGCCTAGAGTTTCTCCTCCATCATTCCTTTTGCTGGTTGCTCCTTGCAAAGGTAAGAAAATTGAACATGGTGGTGATAACCTGTCATGCATTTTGGATTACTGGACATTGTTGAGGATGAGGGAAGCATTTTTTTTGGCAGCCAGGCAAATCTCATTACACCTAGTTCCAGCTCTATTCTAGCAGTTGGAGTTATTATTTCTTGCCTTTCAGTATGAGAGTGAGCAAGGTGGAGCTTGTAGGTTGCATGCAATCTTCCAGGCCATTTTTATGGCCTGTAGTCCCATTGCACTCTTCTGATGTTTGCAACTGGGAAAAAAATATTTTTAAAAGGGTTTTGCACCATAATGGCTGCATGATTCCTGGTTCTCCCCCCCACGTAAAACCGAAAGTGGATATCTCCCCAAATTCAGGTTTGTTTGCATTTTTAATCATTTTTTACCATCCTTGCAGTTGATATGGACCCTGGTAGATCTTGTGGGTGGAAAACAGACCCCAAGACTTTCCAAAGCTCGGACATGTCATCATAACGAGAGAGGTGTTTCTCTTTTATGTTAATTATGTTTGCCATGGCATGCAGCTCATAACATTATGTGATTCTGGTTAATATTTAGTAATTTTCATGCTCAAATTCCTTTGAATTCTTTTGGCTTCCTTTCCCTGGAAGTTTCTCCTATCAGCCTCTCATGAAATCAGTTCTATAACCTTTTTGTTTGCTATAGCCAAACGTGCTTTTTTTGTCCGCTAATAGATGCTGCCATCCATCCTAGTTTTCAGTTTGTATGTTTCTGTTGGAATTGTTAGGCTGGGGCCATCTCAAGTAGAAAGGAAGAGAAACAGATGAACTACGTAGGAAGATTTCCATGGCAGTTAACATTTTGATGTGACACAGACAGGTAGAAGGAGTCTTCTCTGCATAAAAAAGGGTGGCACCAGAGGCCAATGTTGAGAACAAATTGCAGTGTCCTTCAACATCCAGATCATTTTATCTTCTTATCCCTTTAGGATTAGCAGTGCCTGGATTTGCCTAGAAGTCTTACCCTGATTGTGGAATGCTGCTTTTCCACATAGCCTTCAGAGCAGAGTTCTCCCAAACTGATCAGTTTCCCTGCGATTAGGTTTCTAGTCCCACCTTACTCCTGAAGTTATTGAAAGCTTCAGAGATCTGATGGCCGGTTCTATGTTTTTCTTTTAGCTCACATGTATGAAATTGCTTGTTAACCTTATTTTGTGTGTATTTTAAGTTGCCTTCAGTAGAAAGACTATAATCTGTCCAGAAAGGTGGCTGAGCTTTCCTCGGTCTGCAGCTGGGATGGATAGATTTTGGCCCTCTGGATATTTTCAAACTGCAACTCTTATCATTCATAACCAGCATTACCCGTGGTGACTGGGACTTACAGTTCGGCAACATCTGAAGGGCAATCCTTGATTTACAAAATGACAAGCTAAGAACAAAGATGATTTGCTACATCTGTAGTTAGAGTGGCTAGTTGCAGGGTGCTTGCCTCCAGAAGATGCCTGTTTTCATTTCTACTGTTCTCTCCTTCTGAACAGGGTATCTAGATGCCCCATGGGGAAAATGGCATCCAAAAATTGTAGCCATCTTAAAAATGATGTTGACAACAAAGTTGTTTCTGATCTGTGATAGTGAACCAATGCATGAAAACCATGGCCTTTCAGTGACCAAGTGTCAGACTTTGTCACACTCAGAGTAAAATCAATGGAACTTGAGTTTGCCCGAGCTGAGCTCCATTGATCTCAGTGGGCTGTTCAAAGAATGAACGTAGATCCTTTGTCCATCTAACGAGCCTATTTAGACCAGGGGGAAGTGAAACCAACATGGAGGATATATCAGGGATCTTCTACCAACTCTCCTCAGACTGAAGAAGCTACTTGGATGAGTAGTGAGACATTTCAACCGAATAAGAAAGAAGTCCAGTTGCCATGAGTCAACTTCCAAATTGTCTATGGGTGGTTTGTCTCCCAGCTCTTAAAACATCAGGTTTCCTTTGTGACATGCTGTCTTGGGGCTGTTACTGGGCAAAGCTGCACAAGGATGTTGTTTTTCTTTGTAACAGGAGGAGGGAAAGCAGGAAGGTCGACTCTTGAGCATGCTGGAGCAGTCTGAAAACAAAGCTGCAGGTAGGAGGCCAGCACCCTGTTGTGTATATTGATGTCTGCCTTCTTAACCCTGAGAGCATATTTTAGTTGCAGTGTTATTCCAAATTATGCCATAGTCATTACTCTTTTTTCCGATTGCCTAGACATTTGTATTTCACCATTCCATTGGCCTCATGAGGGCTTCTGTTTTGCCAGAAGACACTGGGGAGTCTCTGTTCTTGAGGGAAGGAACATCAACAGGAATGTTGTGACCTATCGTATTTTGTACTAAAAAGCAGAAATCCATCTATCTCCTGTTCCTCATAGAATATATTATTTAAAAACATATTATTACCAGTTTTCCTGATATGCTTTAGATGTATGTATGTATGTATGTATGTATGTATGTATGTATGTATGTATGTATGTATGTATGTATGTATGTATGTATGTATGTATGTATGTATGTATGTATGTATGTAAAATATTTTACCCCATCTTTCTACTTAAAAAGGACCCGAGGCAGTTTACATCATTACAGAACAATATTTGAAGCTAAACTACTAAGTGTTGTTGTTGTTGTTTAGCCGTTAAGTCGTGTCTGACTCTTTGTGACCCCATGGACCAGAGCACACCAGGCCCTCTTGTTTTCCACAGCCTCCCAAAGTTGGGTCAAATTCATGTTGGTAACTTCAGTGACACTGTCCAACCATCTCGTCCTCTGTCGGCCCTTCTCCTCTTGCCTTTAACATTTCCCCAACATCAGGGGCTTTTCCAGGGAGTATCCTCTTCTCAAGAGAAGCGACGATTTTTCTGGAATGGATTATCGTCACTATGCGGGGCACCACTGTATTACAGAACACAGAAAAGCCCCTTTCTCCTTTCTAGAGTATGATCTAGCTATCCTCATCCAGTTTGGTTCGATAGTGTTTATCAGAGATAGTGTTTATCAGAGAAGTTCATTGGCATGGTTTTTAGTGGTTTTCAGAGGTTGATGTTGCTCCAGATTGATCAAATAAAGATTCTGTGTTGTCTTGTTTCAGATGCAGAGGCAGTGACACCATTCAGAGGTGAAGACTTAAGGTTAGCTTTTACCACTTATGCCATGGAGCCTTTCAACTGGTAAACAAGCATGGTCAGTGTAAAAAGCATGGTCAGTGTAGGCTGGTCCAAATGGTCAGCACTTTGAACAAGCTACTTTAGTAAGATTGAAGAGGAAAACTTTCTGAAAACTAGTTACTTATGCTAATCGCAAAGGAATTGTGTCACCTCTGATTAGGAAAGAACTGAGTGCAAGTAGATAATGTTGTTTTCAAGACAAGGAAACTGATTATATTAGACAAGAGCAATCTTCCTTCCTTAATCTTAGGCATATTGTGGAACACAGGAATCTTATGTTCACTATTAACTTTAATGATTCAACCCAGTAGATTGTAACATTCCTGTAGTGATAAAGTAACTCTAGGTTTCTTTACCACTAATGGAGCCTGTAGAATATAATACACAAGTAACATATACTGTTGGAGGAGACTCCTCTGGGACTTGAACCCTGAGCCACTTAGGGCTTTGAAAGTAAGAACCTGAATCTTTGAGTGAACTCAGTTGCAGACAAGGAACCAGTATTCCTTAATTGGTCTGATAAAAGGGGGAAAAGATTGTTGGCCCTTGTGCAAAATCCAAAACAAGAGTGGCAATACCTTATAATCTTACAAACAGGCTAGCTTTTGAATCAGATCAATGTAATCTGACCCCATGCAGATGAAATAGTCAGCATCCCAACTGCCAAATTCTGCAGAAGTTGAAGCTGCCAACCCATTTTCAAGGACAGACCTACATATACAGTATAATACATTACAATAACCCAGAGAAGAGGGATATGTGGGCTTCCAGACGTTGTTGATCTGAAATTCCATTCCTCGCCATTGTTTATGGGCTAAGGCTGCCGGAAGCCAGAGGACTAAAATTCTCAGCCCCTCCATCCATCCAGTCTGGGTGCTTACCAAAAACATGGAACTAAAACAGAGAAGGTTAGAAAGAGATAAATGAGAGTCTGGGTGGGTGGCTTGGTGGTGCAGACTTCTTTAAACAAGTAGTTTACCTGGTTTTGCATTTTCTTTTTTCTTCCTCCACCAGGCACAGCTCAGCAGAGATGGATGAGGAGGCTGATGCCTGGAGTCCCTTTCCCCAAGCTGCTTGCAGTGACTCTCCCATTAGATCTTTCACCTCCATTTCAGAAGCCAAAGACTGCCTAGTGGACTTTAAAAAACAACTGGCTGTTGGCTCAAGCTGTCTCAAACAAACCAAAGCCAGCTTCAAGAGCAGGAAGAAACTCTGAGGGCAGGCGGGGGGAGTGGAGAAGAGGTCTGAGCAATGAAAAGGAAAGTGAGGCCTTCTATTCTGGTGGTCCAGTCCTGTCAGGCAGAACCTCAGTGGCTTCAGATCCCTCTTTCTGTATATTTTGTATGAATGCTACAGGGACCTCTCATGTATTGAACTGATTGTGTCCTTTATAGATGCCTATTAAGCCTTGATTTTCAATTAGAAAGGAAAATGAAATATATTTATTATGTTTTTATAAACTCCAATTTGCTGCTGTTTGGATTTATTTTTTAAAAAAAATATATTGTGGCTTCAAATGGCTACTGTACAACCTAAATGCCCATAGACAAAGGAGACAGCTGCTGAGCCCCTATAAATTAAAAAATGGAAGAGACAGACAGACCAAAATTGAACATTTTCAAGTCCCCTTACCTCAGTGGAAGAGATGGAGGCATGTTCTTAACCCACCCCTTTGAATCAACATGCCTCAGTTTGCACTGATTTCACACACAACTGGTGGAATCTGCAGAGTGATGAACAGGATGAATCGGTCCTGCTTTGCTTTCTCTGGAGCAACGTGGTTGCCTAGGAAGAGATCAATGTATGCAAAAAGAGGACTCCAAAAGACACCAGAAGGGTTATTGGGTAGTTTCATTATATCAGGGATAGCCAGTTTCTTAAAACCAGCAGGTGGGACTCTCACAAGGCAAACAAAAGACTAGATTTTCCTGAGCCATGACATCTTGCACACTTCTCAAAGATGCATGGGGAAGAGTTGGTGACAATCAGAGCAGGGACCAGATGGGGCCCCTGGGCTGCTCTTTGCCTCCCCTGTGTTTAAAGGAGCACCTAGAAGTCACAAGAGCTTTTACACAAGGTATCTATACCTGGTTTGGTATAGCGGATAGAGTGCGGAGTAGGACGCGGGATTCAGATCTGCATCCAAATCCCTGTTTGGCCTTGGAAACTCAATGGTTGGGGTGGCCCTGGTAAAACTACTCCTTAAATACCTCCTTGACCTTTAAAGCCCTATTTGGGTCACTATAAATCCATCCTGACTTGGCAGTATATAACATATGCAGATGAGATCATGGTGCAACTGTTGTTTGTGTTTTCTTCAATCTCTTACATTGATGCTTTAATTTTAATTGAAGGCCTCATTCAGTTTGGGCTGTGCTGTGCTGAACTCCGGAGTGTAAATCATCCAGTCTCTGCCTGAAAGAGCTTTGAATCTAAAAATTAGACCCAAGGGGTGTGTAACACGGCCTGTGGCACAGCAAAAGTGAGCAGTCTGCACCTTGATGTTCTGTTACTAATTGTTCCATGTTCCTACAAAATGCTGTTCATTCTCGGGACTTTTATTTTATTTTGATGCAGAGCCTGTGCAGTTGAAAAAGCTCAAGGGCAGGTTACAGGTAACAGCAATTACACATAAAACACAGAGATCTCTGTCTCTAAATTGCTTGCAAAGGCCAGGGAGAACAAAAGGAAGGATGGCATGTTATCTTAATGGGACATTGTTTTATCTACTAGGAAACGGCTGTCATTGACTGCTGCTACAGAGGAGAAGATTTCAGTGGCCTAGAGGTGTCCTGAATAGACACATGTGTCCTCTTGACATTGTGTCAGTGCGGAAGGGAAAGGAAAGGGTACAACAGCTGCCTTGTCAGTGTGCCATCTAACACGGCAAGATGACACACAAGCTAGCAGGGATCTTTATGATGGCCTGCCTTGCCTCCTTGGAAGTCTTGAGTTCCAAAGCTACCTGCTCAGGAGTGGGGGCTTTGTTTGGCCCCCATGAGATTAAGGGTGTTACCTCCTCTCCTACCCCTCTGCTGGCACCCTGTGTCACAGGTGGCCTGGTTGTTCCCCATATCATTTGCACTCCCGGGAGATTTTATACATTCAGAACACTGAAGTGGGAAAGTGAAGTGTAGGCCATACCACTTCAAACTGTTGAATGGAGATGGGAGAGTTTCAGGTTCCTTGCGACAACAAACACCTTGTCACACAAAGAAAATATGTACCTCAGGGGAGACTAGTCTAAGCCATTCTTAATTCAGTCGAGGGGAACTTTTAAAGAACAGCCGGTGTAGAATTCAGAGATGGGCTCCCCTCCTGTAGCCTGTAAGGTAGCGCAGTCCAAGAAAAGCTTCTTCTTGCGTTGGTTCTGTGGCGTTCTCAAAGCAGCATTGAATCAAAGGCTGCAGTCCTGATTTACAAGGGCACGACTCCTTGGGATTTAGCTGCTTAGAATTATGCTGCAAGACATTTTAAGTTGATGGGGGAAATTATTTTTTTTAAAAAAAAAAAATCTTGATTTTCGTACTGAGCCCTCAAGTGCAATGGCACGGCTTCTCTGTTTACACGACAAGTTGTAGCGTTGCCAAGATCTTTCTCCAATTTCGTCAAATAAAAGATGTCTCCTCAGTGTGGCAATGTCTGTCTCACCCTCCTGGTTTCCTCCGTGTTAAGTGTCAATCTCTTCCAGACCTGTCTCCTGAAGCAAAGCCCCTTGTTTATCTTTTCAGTTGCCGATAAGGAAAGCAAAGAGCTGAATGACTTTCCCAAAGCTCAGCTGTCACCGAAAGCCCAGGGTCGGCTCAAGGAGATGCCAAAAGAGCAGGCACGGCAGGCTGGGGAAACCCACCACCAGCTGCTGCTGCTGCTGCCAGGCAAGGCTGAGCCAATAACCAGAACGGGTCGGATGGCACCCGGTGTCACCTTGGGACAGAGCTGCCGATCTCTTCTCAGAGCGTCTAATGACTGTCTCACTAAAATTGTCAGCCTTGCACTACCCGCTCACTCAGTTGGAGCACTTCCGCTCCGTGTACATGATAGGAGCGAGCAAACAAAGGAAACGCTCTTTGGTAGCCTGGGCAGCAATAATCTGCGCTTTGCAAGCCTGGCTGCACCTCCTTTTGCAGCCATGTCTCTGTCTCTTTCCTTTTGTGTCGCGCTCCGTCTTCAGACAGGCCGAGCAGGAGAGGATGTCAGGAGCATGCTGATACCAGGTGTCATGAAGCAAAAGGAGCCAAACAGGGTCTCTTTAACTTTCCGTACTCTTGGCACGAGACTGGAGGTATAATTTCAAGCAATATTGGACTAAGTTCACACGAGATGCTGGCGCCAGTGTAGCTGCTCGTGAGCTGCTAAAGCTGCAAGCCGCTATTGGACCCTTTGGGCGTCCGGGGTGGGGGGGAAGGGGAAGAGAGTTTGTTTGTTTTTCAGTAAGGTCTATTGCCACCAGGATAATCCCCCAACACATATATTTCGAGACGTATGAGAGATACTAATTTAAATTTAAACATCATGTTTATGTTTTAATGGGCCTTTCTCTTCAGGATCATCAGCCCCACTGCCTTAGGGAATATATTGATGTACTGTTGGTCCAAAATTGCAGAGCCTGTGTGGCATTTTTTAATCACCATTGTGCCCAGCAGGGCTCCCAAAGCTGGGCAGAAAGTTTGAGATTCACTGAAGCTAGAGCTGTAATGTGCTCGAAGCACTAAAATTTACAGAAAAGGGGATCAGAAAGTCACAATATATCATTTAATCATATCTGTTCCTGTAGCAGGGAGGGATATGTTTTGCCTTCCAAACGTTTTGGTGTACTGCTTGCATCAGCCCACCGAGCATCATGAACAGGGATAGTGGGGTGTTTTGTAGTCCAAGAGGTAAAGAGAACTTAAGGTTTTCCACCCCCATGCAAGCAGATTGCAATGACCCAACATTTCCCTCAATGCAAAAACAAGACAGTAGTTTTATCTAACTGGAAATCTAGATCTGTATTTCAATTTTCCTTTTCATGGGTTCTGTGGTAAAAAGCCACGTTGCCTTTCTGGGACCTGCCTTTTATTTAAAATGTGATCGGACACCTTGTGAAAGTTGGCTATTAGCCTACCTGCCCCCCCCCAATGATTATTTAGATATCAATTAGCAGTGAATATTAGGGCAATGACTGGAAAATAAATGCTGTATTGGAAATAAACTTTGCTCTCACTGGGAAGTATCTGTGAGGACCTGCAAGTTAATAGATGGAAAAGGATGAATGATTTGTAATTGATCACAAATAAAATACGTTATGCAAATACTATAGGTACAGCAGGGATGTGCAGAGGTTATTGAGTTGCAATTCCCCTAATTCCTAATCAGAATAACCAACGGTCAGGAATGATGTGAGTTGTAGTTGAACAATATCTTGAAGACCAGATGTTCCCCATTCTTGATGTCCTGCTCCAGAGCAATGCAAAGATCACATTATCCCACCCCAGCAAAATCTACCCACATTAATAATGGGGACATGTTTAGGATGAGACCCTGTCTATAAATCCAAATATTCTGGTGCCAATTGCTTGCTTTGAAGACACTGTTCCTCTCACATTAGTGCTGCAAGGGGTGGGATCTCCGTACCAGAATACAGATTTTTCCATTCACTGGTAATTGGTGCAAAAAAGATGCAGGCCTTCGCATCCCCAAGATGTCATGTTTGGAAGTAGAACTGAAATAATTTAGATGCAAATGTTCCCAAGCAGATTCTTCCCATCCCATGTATACAGGATTTCATTTGATTTTTATTAGCTTGCTGGTGAAAAACAAGGAAGTTAGAAATATAGTATTGCCTTTAAAGACCAGCACGAGTTTAAGATTTTAGTCTTCTGAAGAAGAGAATGGTAATCCACAAAAGCTCACACTGAAATACATCTGTTTGTTTTAAAGGAACTGTGATATTTGGGTTTTTGTTTTTGTGAGGGAGATTGAATTTGTTTGCACTTCAAATGTCTAGACTGAAATATTATCATCTTTCAAAATCTGAAAGATCATATTTGCATTCTTACATTTCCAAGGTGTATGAAACTTCATTGTAGCCAAAGCCCAGCCCCATGGATCTCTCGCTGGCCTAACCCTAATCTTTTTCTCTATGGGGTGCTGAAAGAGCAAAGTGCTGACAGGCTAAGCAGAAAGCAGGTTTCCTGAGGCTGGCTAGGCAGGGTGGGAGGCTCGTTCGCTCATCATTATTGCTAGAAACTCAGGCTGAAAGCAAGAGCATTTCCAGAAAAGCTGCTGTCAGTTTCTATGCTCACCCTTGTCGGTCACTGAGAGGCTGCTGCCCAGAGACTGCTTGTAGCGGTCTCTGCCGTTGAACCTCTGCCCAGCTGTCACCAGTGCCTCAAATATGTTTCATTATTCATTGAACTATCCTCCTTTCCCCTCTATTCATGAGCACAAAACACATTTGCCGGGCAGCGTGTCCTCTCCCACCCAC